TCATTCGCCAATCAGCTGGGGAACTCCTTCCGTGTCGAGACGTTCAATATCACCAAGACTGGGAGGGTCACATCTTCCTTAATCCAAGGTGGGCAAAGATGGCAGTCCATTCGCTTGTTGACCGGTGGGACTGTCACACTATCTCAGGTTGGCTTCGACGCGACAATCGACACAGTGGAACCAGAGAATCTCCCTGGACAGTTCAACTGCGATGATGAAGCCTTGAATGAGATTTGGAAGCTAGGAGCGAGGGCTGCTACAGCCGCCTGCGTTGATAAAAAGTCTCAGAAGGCAATCTGGGAAGTCGACCCGGTGAACGGCGTATATGCGCGCAGTGTGCGCCCATCCCTGTCAGTCAACGGAACAGCATTTGCCAATTACACCCTGGAATTTGAGACCATGATCCAGAAAGGAGGCAGCTGGTGGTCTGTTGTAAGTGACTATGCGAGGTACCCCGGGATAATGATCTAATGCGACTGATCCGTTTACCTACACAGGCATCACCCATGGCTGGTAGCGCGTACTCCATGTTGCTAACCGGCGAGCTTCCGGAAGCCAGTCGACTAGCGAATGTGAACACAACACTAACACCACCCAACACCATTTCGCTTGCCTACGGGGTTGACTTCGTCAATCAGACCACCCTCACAACATGGGTGCTAGATGTGTTCGAGGTGCCGTTCGCAGTACGCGAAAACACCTGGTACAGAGTATCCGTCGTACTGTCTCCCAGTGGCTATCTTTCGGCCGCGTTGAACAATACGCAAATCTTCAACATCTCACAGGCCGCATATCCGCTGGCAACCGGGGAGTTCTCAGGGTCCTTTGGGTTTGGTGCATACCAAGACCATGCGGCGTACTTCAGAGACGTGAACGTCTATGACACTGGGAATGGGTCCACCTTGTACACAAATCCACTGACGACTGAGAATGTTCTCGCGGAGTATGGCACCCAAGAAAATCAAGAGAGTCTCTGCTTGGACGGCCCAAAGCGCGACCGGCTTGTATGGCTAGGCGACTTCATCCATACAGCGCGAATTCTCGGTGTCAGCACATCAAGAATCGATCACGCTCGAGGGACATTGCAGTACCTGTTAGATTCGCAGATTGGGGATGGCGAGTTGGCTATCTCTCCCAGCATAGGGTACAATATGAAAGCCTCGCCGGATGTGTTCGCACCAACTGGCTCCTACTATCTGTCAGACTACCAGCTCTTGGGGTTGATTTCCTTTCATGACTTTGTACAGTGGAGTGGTGACCTCTCTTGGGCAAACCGCACATGGCCGAAGTGGAAAAAACAGATCGACTGGATAATTGGGAAGGTCAACAATACCACCGGTCTTATCTCTTTCAACGCTGGCGCCTTTATAGGCCCTCAAGATGGTGGATCTGCTGTCGCTTGTGCCGGTGTGCAAGCGCTGACTGGCGCCGCCGAAGTGGCCACTGCGTTGGGAGACACCAAGTCGGCTACTCGCTACCAGCAGGTCGCAGAGTCCATCGCGAATGCCGTCAACAGGCGTCTCTGGAACGGTCAGCTGGGAGCATACAGCTCCTCCCTGGACGATATTGGAAACTTCTCCGTCAGCGGTACAGCATTCTGCATCAGCTCCGGGGTGGCGTCTTCTAACCAGACTGCACGCTCCTTGGCTACCCTATCACGGCTGCGCCTGGGGCCTGGCTACAAAGACTCTTCTGATGTGTCTAATTCAGATCCCACGGTCAATATCTCCCCGAATACTAATGGCTTCCTGCTTCCGGCTCTGTTTCAGGCCAATGCTACAAGCATGGGTCTTGAGTTAATCAAGAAGCTCTGGGGCGTGATGCTTCCGCTCGATGAATCACAGAATCGGACTGCGGTGGGAACAAGCTGGGAATACGTCAACTCTCAAACACAGCAACCGGGACTTGGCCTGTTCACCAGTCTCAGCCACCCTTGGGGTGGGGCGCCCACATATGTCTTGACCGAGTGGGCAGCAGGATTGCGCCCTGCCCCGGGGCCCGACGGGTTTGGATACCGCAAGTGGATCATTGCACCTGAAACAGGCTTCCAGATAGGTTTGAAGAGGGCCCAGGCCAAGGTTGTTACTGCCTTTGACGGGTCACTAAGCGTTGAGTGGCATGTGCGGGATGGTAAGCTTTATGCGAACATCATGGCGCCCACCTCTACTGAGGGACAATTTGTCTTCCGGGGGAAGACTATCCAGCTCTCTGGTAAGGCTTCCTATAATTTCTCCGTGGGTATTCACTAGGTAGTAGTATGCCCACTAGGGTGACCTTGTTTTATCAATGAGAGCATCAGATATGTTTATTTTCCGATCTACCGACCATAGAATCTTCTATGCATGAATCATCGTCGCCAGCCGGACAGGCAGAAGCCATACAATGGATGTAGATATTTGCATCTTCTGACTGCGGTCGTGAATCCTCTTGTTTTATTGTTAAAGATTGTCTCCTTTCTTTCCCTCTAGACATAGCTGGGCCTTGCCGCAGCTGTAACTTGTAAGCTGGATTCTAACTGCGCACTCAGGGAGTCGGGGGTAGAGCACGGCATATAATTGATATGCAGGTCTCAGGATGAGAAATGAGATTTGCATCTGACGGGCTGGAACGTACAGGAGTTGACTCTCTTCCTTCTATCGAGCTACTTTGATAAGAACACGCTATCTGTATCCAACGAATTATATGCACTCTATATCTTCGCCACTCCTTTGGTAGACCCTTCATCTTTCTGCATCTCATCATGGAATGCCAGTGTTCTAGGTCTAGCAGGAACTTCAAGCATTTTCAACGAGACCCCGGGGAGGAAGGTCGTGTCCCATCGCTGTAGCACTATTCCTGGTAATAACTTAGGGAACTTGTTCAAAATAGTATCTCTTAATTCCGGAGTCTCCATCGCGTCCATCTGTTGCCGACTGTGGGCTGTATGCATAATTTGGGACAATCTCGGGGCGCGGATATCTTGGACCTGCTGAAATATGCTGTGAAGTTCCGTAGTCGATGGCGCACCCAAAGAAGACGGCTGCGATAAAATCTCCATGAGGTTGTTTGTCAACGCCGCTGCGCTCTCAACGGCTTGGCTTCCTCCTTGGCCGACGCTAGGAAGCATCTGTCACCAAGAGTACTCGTCAGTTACATCACCATTTGCAGTGTATCTTAAGGGCAATGTCTTGCGATCTTACTTTATGTACGGCATCTCCAATCAGCATGACTCTGTTCAGGTGCCAATTTCTGTCCACGCATTCACGCATAGGGGTGTATATAGTCGATGTTCTGTTATTATAGAGATCAGAAAATCGCACGTCTGGCATAATGTGGTCATTCCAGTGTTTTTGCGCCAGGGCGTCTTGTTCTTCGTTGCTTAATTGAGGGATCTCTTCGCCGTGGAATGTCTGCCCCATGTGGGCCATAAGAAACCAGTACGTCCGGTTATCAGGTCCACTCCCGATGATGTGTGAGGACTGTTCGTTTACTACAAAGTCGAGACAGCCTGAGGGGATTCCAGGAACCCCAGTGGACACGCCGAAGATGCAGGAATAGGTTGCAGGGGCCTCGTCACCATAGTCGTCCTGCTGCCCGAGGGTTCCTGCTAAGCGAACCATTTCCTGTCTGATACGAGAGTGCGTCCCATCAGCTCCGACAAGAATGTCACCGCTGTATTTTGATCCATCTGTCATGATGACCTCGACACAGTTCTCGGTGTGTTGAACCGTTGCGACACGCTTCTGAGTCAACACCTTTGATCTGTCTGAGATACGACTGTAAAGGACCTCGAGCAGTGCCTTGCGATCCATCCACAGATAGGGATAGCCATATCTATCTTGGTATATAAGCGAAAGTGCAAAGCCTGATCGCACGATACGAGGCATACCTTTCACTTATAGTTGATCCGTCCACCGACCCTAGCGCCTTGCCCTCTAGATCTCGCCAGGTTACACTCGTAACGGGATTCCTGGTATGGCTGAGTAAATCCTCATAGCATCCCAGCTGATCAAGGACTCGGAGACCGTTGGGCATCATGCAGATACCAGCCCCAACCTCTGTCACAATATTCGGGTATGCCTCCAGTAATAAATAGTCAACCGCATTCTTTTCCAGCATAAGCGCAAGGGAGAGGCCAGCGATCCCACCCCCCACGATTAGGACCTTGCAGGGACGGAGAGGCATTGGAGATACTCTTTTGACGAACAGATGCCAGAGGGGTTTCAACTAAGATAGCCAGAAATTGGACGCCGGTGTGCAATCCGTTCAGTCGAGGTCTTCGACTTTGCAATCGAGGAATCCATGGTGTTAAATAGTTTGGTGGTGGTTAAAATCCTTTGGTGGGTGGCCTAAACAACAGAGCTAAGGTGATACAATATGCCTAGTGACTTGTACTTGTAGCCCCGTTGGTTGATTTACGCCTCTAGATGACCCGAGTGGATCCACATCAGAGGGATACGATGAAAAGCTAAGTGCTCGGTCCACAACATAGCCCCAAAGGGCCGCCTTAATATGCATCCCATTGGCAGCTTCGTTTACGATCTTCACTAGTGGCTATGGTATGTGATCATAAGAGTACTAGTTAAGCATTATCGCCCTTACAGGCATATCTTCGGGACGCTATCAGATGCCAGGGGCCAGTAATGACTCAGAACAGAACTCAATTTGGTCTAGGAATTTCTCTATGGAAAAACAAAAGAGCAAAAGGGAGGCAACTCGATATTTCTTCTTTATACGCCGTGTCGCCTGAGCCCTCAACGCGCCATAACCTGCTGCAGCGCCTTCTTTCTCTTCTTCCCGACTCTATCCTCCCCAGGCCACGCCTCGACCATCCACCTTTGGAATCCAGACGTCTCGCGCAGTAACATAGCGGGTGTTGACTACTATTTTAGTACTGGACCTTGAAATAAGGAAAACGAGAAAGGAATACAGCCGACCGTTTGCGCGTCAGATAGATTCTCAGTGGCCATGCCGCGCAGCTCTCGTTACGGGTGCTGCCAGTAGGGCGTGTACGAACTAGCTCATTCGCAACCTGCTGAACAAGCCGCGATGGTGGAATAAATTTCCATCTGAGCAGCGAAGGCGTTGAACGCTCGGACACAGGACCAGCCGGACATACATTTGACGCTTCCAAGGAGGTCCAGCGGAGACCATTCACCATCAACCATAGACGCATCGCCTGCCCTGTTCGTATTAAACCCACGCATTTGTTGCTGATGGTGAGTCATTATGGCCACGAGTTCCTTGGCTGATAGACGCTGTCCCGCCCGATTGGTGACGATGGGAGTCGTGTCATCGGGGAGCTGGCCCGTTGCCAAACAGGTCTGTAGCTCCAGCTTCAATGTTTGAGAGGCCAAAGAAACACACCAGTTGGAATCAAACGTCCCCTCACGATGTGGCCAGTTCCAAAGCAGCTCCATGGCTTGCCACCGCACCGTGTAATCCCGACAAGCGAACGCAGTATGGAAGAGGGGAGGAATGATGCCACATTGAATGCTGATACTCGGTCGCTCTGGATACTTTTGCAAGAATGCTTCGGTGAGGATGACGACCATCCGATAGTCAGGGGTATAACAATCCAGGACGGCGATGTCTCCACCGACGAGGCATGTTTTTATCGCCACCGATAAGCCCGTGATCCATATGTCTACTAGGTCGGCCCCTCTCTGCTCTGCACGACTCAGGCGATTGTACATGTTGCTGTAAAATTGCTTGAATTGCCGTATGAAATGGCTAAAATGGGACCAGGTTTCGAGCTGTTGTCGGTGCAATGCCTCATAATCGGGACCGATGTGATCCGGTGGGCGATACATACAAGGAGAGATAAACTGAAAAGCCATGCTGAAGTAGGGTTCAAAGGCACGGAGGACATCTTGGAGGCTTTGGAATTGCATTAGCGGATCGCAATCAATATGACGATCGCTCAGCTCATTCTCAATGCACAGGAGCGGACCTCCGACTCCAAAATGCGTGGACATGGTATCCAAGTGCGCAAATGCCGCGACGAGGCTCTGCTCGACCAGCTCCTCCCGAGGTGTCGGTGCGATCAGTTGCCGATGAGCCTGGAGGTCTTGCAGGATACGTATACCACTCTGGAGGTGGCTAAATGCGCTATCATAATGCCCGCACAGCAGATCTGATAGCACGAACAGAAGGCAGCAGACAAGGGTGACGTTACAGAAGCGAGGGTCCTGGGATGTGCGGCGTTTGGTCAAGAGGTTGAAAGCGCGACTCAACTGCTCCAGAGCGAATTGATGCCAGGTATTCCGTGGTTGGCCCATGAGCAACGGCATTCCCTTGGCTTCAGAGTCGTAGTGAATCGCACTGAGGGCGACCACTGCATGGTATACGGCTGGCTCGGACTGAGAGATCTGAAAGACCAGCTTTTCCCATAGGGTTGAATCGAAAAGACCGAGGAGAGTGGGGATGGTGTGATTTTGGAAGTATGAGAGACACCGCCGCTCATCCGAGGTCATCTTCCAGCGAAAGCCATTGAGGATCTCCAGCTGGACCTGTGTTGTAGGGCCCTTCACCGTCCTCCCTTGACGGGTAGCCGATAAAGATCATAGCCATCGCAGCGTCGGCCGCTGGATGTGCAGTTTTGACATGAGCCTGGGGCCTCGTCACATTTGATATGACGAGCTCTGCAGGTACGACATCCCGTTCGTGATCGCTTCCCGCCTGCCCTTTGGCGATCTGTACGTGTTGGTTTCATGGTGAGGGTGGGTGTGGTCGTGGATAGCATAGCGGATCGTAAGGCTGAGATCTCCACGCACCGCGCCCTTAGCTGAATATATCTAGGCAACGGCCGATCGGCGGAAAAGGGGGACAACCTCAGCCGCAGCATTCAATGAGGCTGACAGTCGGAATTCCACTCCACAGCCTCAGTCGAAGCCGACCTGTCATCCAATCAGACTAGTAACGCAGGCGAAGAGGATCAAACCGTCAGCCGTCACGGACACTAGTTCATTTAGTCCAACAGGAATGCTGATCTTGCATTTGATGTTCTCTTTCTTTGAATTTCCTTTAATTCTGGCTTGATTTCTTGTGCTTCTCCCCAATCCGTACCCGGTGGCCACAGTTGTATCGCTCTGTTTTCCATCGTCCAAGACACCCCCATCACTCCACCAGAGGGCCTATGTCGAGCTACAACTTCTGAAATGGCCCCCAGTAACCGAGTGGAGACATGTACGTTGGCGCTCGGACTAGAAGATAGTAATACTCTCTGGTGCCCCACCGCATTGCAACGTGAGAGAAACGCCAAGACAAAAAGCATGGATGTCCAGATGTCCAGATTCGGTACTTTTTAATACTGCTCACGTCCCAGACGGAGGCTTAGCATCTGTGGTGCCTTCAGCTGTCACCGAGACCGCTTCGTGAATGGGATTGCTCTTGATTCGCCTTTGCTCCAACCATGTCACCCCCCCTGCGAAGCCGACAACGAGGCAGGCCAGGGCAACGAAAAGACCAGTGGTCCAGCTCGGCCGATTGAGTCGATTCATCGTCCACATACATAAGGCGAGACAAGTCTGGAAGACAGTGTTGAGTGTGTTGCCCCAGACCACGGCGTCCATCTTCCAGAGCGGAGTTGGTGTGAGATGTACTACGTCTAGTTTGGTGGGAGAAGATGCAGTGGGCAGCATGTCCATCACCTCCCGAGGCCGAAGGAACCAACTAGAATGTATATCTGCCAGGCGACCGAGCCCTCTTTGACGACTCCGCTCCGATCGACTGAGTCGCCATAACCCCCAGAAATATAGGTCGCGGATGCGCCAGGGTGCCAGCCCAAATCCCGTCACACAGAACAGGGCGTTCAAGATTTGAGAGTCAATCTCGATCCAGACTCGGCGCGACGAATCAAGGCTGTCGCAGTCGGGGTGACACATCGCCGGCGCTGCATTGCACATCAGGAGGAACAGCATACCTCCCCAGGCAACAATATTCAATGCGTAAATCGTGGTCAAGATACCCATGGGCGTGAGCATCCAGCGCGCGAAGGGACGAGCGGTCGTTGTCCAGAAGCTGTCGGACAAGTGTGTGGCTTCATCACTCTGATTCTGTATCTACGCTCAACGATTAGCCAAGGTGCAGCCCTGAAACCATGCGACAACGTACTCGATTGTATGAATGAAGCCAGCTCTTTGTAAGACCCATATCCCGTTTTCTCTCAAAGCCTGCACTACGTTCTTCCTTTGTCTTCAACAACTCTGACTCCAATAATTCGTTTTGTGTCCTCTGATGGCTGACGACTTCATAACCTTGCAGGGCAGGAACTGTCGACCGTATGATGGTCATGATATATCGGCCTAGTGAGAGAGGGCAGAAACACAAAGCAAAGGGGACATTAAAAAACCAGAAGGTTGAGAAGATGTCTGCACATTCTGCAGAAGATAAAGGACGTCCTGCTGCCTGCAAGATGGCTTAGATGGACCGATTTGGCAGCGGGTACGAATACGAACTGAAAGCACAAATGGACCACCGTTTCTTTTTTTACCCCAAGTGGATTCCTTCGACGTGGCCAACACCAACACCGCGTTGAGACCATAAGTGAAGCCTTGGCGGAAATTTGAGAGATATTCACTTGAAATTTGTTTGCTCTTGTTTTCTCCGAAGTGTATTGCATTGGTCGTCCTACACCATGGAAGTTGTGCGATCGTCTGTCTTGTATCTACGGCACATGATGGTCTCCAAGGGCTAAAAAGAGAATCCTCAACCAGGTATGGTATGATAAGCCTGTACAAGTGAGGCCATTCTAGCATGGTATCTAGTACATCTATTGTCTAATCTACTTACTTTACAATTTCCCTTGCGCCGGCTGGGCGCGCTTCCCATTCTTCAAATTTCGTTCGTATCCAACGACCATACAAACCTGGGAGCTGATGGCGACCAACTCTCCATGCTGGTCAAAGATCTCCACACTAAGATCGGCCCGTCCGGCGCGGAATGATTTTGTGACTACACGGCTATGTAGCCAGGCAGCTCCCTCAGCCGGGATGGATTTCTTTAAATCCACGTTGAAAGCCACCGTAGGGAACCAGAAGGGACCCGGTGGACGACTCTGTTTGTCTTTTGGGTCGTGGGTGCTAGCCCAGGCAGAGGTTGCCATGGCACCCAATCTATCCAACGCCATCGGAAACAGATCGAGTAAGCACATTACAGCCTCGTTTGTCCATCGGGCAGGAATCTGGCCACCGGGGCGAAGTCGCGCCCACTGATCCACGGTGGTATTGATGCGCTCCTGCACGGTGGATGGCGGTAGAGCTCCAAAGAGCTCCGTATGCTGAGAGACTGCCATTGCGGGAATTGTGGGGAATCGTGTCCATGGACCATCTCTACCCTGTTCCGCGAGGGTACCAAAATCGATCCCGCCGTCCGGTTTTGATCCTGGGGGTGGGATTGGCTGCAGGGTCGAATTTCCGCTCACCACAGGGCCTTCCTGATCTGCCTCCGCCGGACTGACCGTTATGTATCCCACCACTTTAGTTTGCGGTCCTTTGGACGCTGCATCCTGCGACAGCGTTACTTGAATAGTACTCGTTCGCGCGCCGAATTTGATCTCTTCAACGGATAACGTGGCCGGTCCGACTTGTGTCGCCCGTACAAAGGTTAATTGAAAGGATATCGGTAAGACGGGTTTGGACCGGTAGGGCGACACATCGGATCGAGCGAAATGCGTGGTGGCCAGGCGGTAGAGAATGGCTGCCGTATAACCACCATGGGGGACTAAATCGAGGTTAATGATAACCATGCACAAACCAGAGTAAACATTCCCAGTTACCATTTCCGATACACCAGTCCTTGTGTAAATGTGCCGAGTATGTATGCGAAGTCAGAGGAGTGACCTTGATCGCTTCCTCGAAGAGTTCGGAATGTGGAGGTGACATTTCTGTACAGTATCTGTTGGACAGTGCAGTCAATGAATGGGCGCAGTTGAAGAACAGGGGCCCATCCTGCTCTTCTTTTGCTGTCTTATTGGCATGGCGATAGATTTGCCTCTTTAGCCAACCGAAGTTCTCTTTGAGGAATCAAATGCGAGGATGGATTAGTCGTATATCCACACTTCCGTCCATCGAACCTCGGCAAGAAGATAGGCCATCACGTGGGACCACGTGGGACCGTCAACCAAGGGAAGTCGAAGATCCGTGAACTAGGACATGAAATAAAGGAGGGTGGAAATAGAACTGAAATCAAAAGAGATATCGTGCAATGTGAAAAGCTGGAAGACGTCCAGACATTTGGATATTGTCGTTGCATGGTATATATTTCCCTAGACCTCGGCACTCGCGACAACTGGCGCTAGTCTACATTCAGCTTAATCACGCTAACCCCATCTGTAGTAGTCCTCTATGATCGATCCACGGTGGAGTCACTATAGAATTGAGTTGTATGTATATACTGTAGTATCGGAATCAGAAGATGGCTTTGAATTGCAAAGAGTCCAAGACCAGGGCCTTTTGGTGCTCAGACAGTCAACAACTGGGTATCCAGGTTAGGCATGACTAGTGCCGATCACGAGATCCGGTACGACATGCGTTGTCGCTGTCGATCTCCAATGCATTTCAGATACAGCCCCTCTAATTCTAGGTCGAACATATACACTCCACAAACTCATTGCAGCACGTTGAGGGACAAGCCTACATCTTTTTCACTCTACATCCCTTACCAGTCAGGATGAAGACCACAACCCCATTTCCCCTCGAGAACCTGCCATACGGAGTGGTCTCCACCCCAGATGACCCAACCCCGCGGTGTGCAACTGCATGGGAGGACTATGCGATCGACCTTGGCCGACTCCAGAGGGATGGGGTCTTTAACTCAATTCCAGGCATGATTGACGGTGCCTTTAGCCAGGTATAGCCACCCCGTCCGTGTTGCTATGGTAGAGCTTGACCCATCATCTTTCTCAAAGCCTGTGCTGAATGTCTTCGCATCGACTCCCCAATCCACACAAGCCGAAGTGAGATCGCGTCTGGTTTGGTTCCTTCAGGGCGTGAGTGAAGCTCATAAGGAGAAGTACTTCATCCGCTTGTCGCACGTGACAAACCATTTGCCAATGGACACCGCGAACTTCTCCGACTTTTACTGCTCGCTCGAGCATGCAAAAAATGCAAGTGTCCATGTTCCTTTGCCTTTCCTCTCAAGAGAGTTGAGGACTCGCTAGTTGACTATATGCATACATAGTGCTCAAAAATTATGGGCCTCGAGGTCAATCCAAACTGGTACTACATTCCGTCAGTCTACAACGGCCGCACCTCCAGTCTTAGAGTATCGGGACAGCCAGTCCGCCGGCCGTGGGGTGTCATATCGGAACCAAGTGCATCCTCACCGGCGACGTGGTCACGAAGTAAGAGGCTCGACTTCGAGCTCGAGATGGGTATATTCTTGTCGAAGCCTCTGAGGGCGGGAGAGACCCTTAACATACGCAACGCCAAAGAGCATGTCTTTGGTTTTGTCATTTTGAATGACTGGTCGGCGAGGGACATCCAAGGATTTGAAATGGCTCCTCTTGGTCCGTTCCATAGCAAAGGATTCGGAACCACGATCTCACCATGGATCGTCACGCTCGATGCACTGTCACCCGTAGAGTGTCCCGTATCTATCCCGCAGAGTCCACCACCATTATCCCATTTGGCCTGGAAAGGGGACCACTCACAGGCTACGTGGGATATTGAGCTGTCCGCGAGGATATTGAGTTGGTGTCCCCACTAGGCCTGGACGGTGAGAGTCACGCTAATTGCTTGAGCAGGAAAAGGGAAGACATATCACATTACTTCCACGAACCTAAAAGATCTATATTGGACGCCGTATCAGCAACTCGCCCATCTTGCGAGCGCTGGAGAGGGCCTCTCCACGGGGGATATATTTGGCACGGGTACTATCTCAAACGATGTACGTCCTATCTTCTTCTCTTATGATCGCTGCCCTCCATAGGATCAACTACTAGTACGATAACTAACGCTACGTGCAGCGACTTAATGGAGTTGGCGAAAAGTCCGGCCTGGCGTGTCTTCTAGAAAGGGCACTGCCCGAAAATAAATTAGCATGTATGGAGATAGACAGCCTTGAGTATCTAGAAGATGGGGATGAGGTCATTATGGAAGGGTGGTGCTTGCATCCAGAGAGCGGTAGGTATTTTGGATTTGGCGAATGTCGAGCTGTGATAGTACCCGCATTGGACCAGCGAGATATGTGATATAGGGCTATATTGCGTGTGGCAATGGCGAAAGGGGGCTCTCTTACAGTATTTTCCTGGTTTATGCCACGTTGGACCAGGCCAGCCAATACGAATGGACGATCAGCAACTGCAATACCCTTTAGGATCAGTTTAGATGAACTATACCATTCACTGTTGGAATCTCCCTACCACTACTACGACTACCAATTACTACTTATTGTTGTTATTACTGCTACTGCTCACGTGCAGGGCCCGATGGCCTCGGTGGACCCGATTCGACGCATGCATGCAGCAAACGCAAGGGGCGAATACCATCCAGACCCAACCTCAATTTTCTCCCCAAAATAACCCTTCTTCGCAGTACATATAAGGTGCCCACCCAATAACGTGACAGAATTGTAGATGGTACCAAAATCAGTGTATTTGTTCATCACTGGAGTCGAAAATAATGGATTTGAAAGGCGAAGAGACAGGTCGGAACGCGCAACGGGAGATTATCGAGGACACGAAGGTCGTGTTAGGAGCGACAGACGAGCGCATTCTATGGGATGAAAAGGAATCCCAGGCTGTCGTGCGCAAGTTCGACATGCGATTGCTAGCTCTTTTCACTGTCATCAATCTGTTCAGCTTCATAGATCGCGTTAATATCGGCAACGCGCGTTTACTGGGACTAGAAAAGGACCTGGGGTTGTTAGGACTACGCTTCAACATTGCGCTGATGTGTCTTTTCGTGTCTTATTGCGTTGTGGAGTTACCTTCAAACATTCTGTGCAAAATCGTTGGGGGACATATCTATATCCCTACCCTTGTGCTTTGCTTTGGCATCATTACGATGCTCACTTCGCTGGTGGAGAAGAAAGGCGACCTGTACGCATGTCGCTTCCTCTTGGGGGTCTTTGAGGGTGGTATTTCCCCGGGATTGGTCTTCATGTTGGCTTTATTGTAAGTCCCCTGGCCTTTTTCGTCTCTTGCTAGCGGATCCCGACAATACAGTTACCGCCGGCATGAACTAGGTGTCCGAACAAGCATATATATCTCTGCGTCTTCAGCAAGCGGTGCTTTCGGTGGCCTCTTAGCCATCGGGCTGTCTAAGATTCCACCTTGGGGTCTCATTCATACATGGAGAAATATTTTTTTCTTCGAGGTGGGTAACTCTCTTCCTTCACGGGAATGTCTAACAGTACCCTAGGGCTTAGTGTCCGTCATTCTCGCGGTCATCGCGTTCATCTGCATCCCAAGTGGCCCAGAACACGCGCGGTTCTTAACAGAATCCCAAAAACGCGTCGCCGTGGATAGGATGCGCATCGATTCTGCTGGAACAACTGAACATTCGCAGACTAAATTCCGCCATGTTGTCCAGGGTTTGACTACGCCGCCGGTTATATTCTGCGCCTTTGGGTTCTTCTTTGGAAAGTGAGTCGTCTACCGCGAACAAACCGGCGAACCCTTTGCTCAAGCAGCCTGACAGCACCTGCGCTCAATCCTTTTCCCTGTTTTCGCCCTCTATAATCAGCGCCATGGGTTATACCAAGGAGCTAGCTCAGCTATTATCAGTTGGACCTTACGTATGTCTCCATTGTTCGATTGCATTCTCACACAGACCTTGGTAACTGATCAAGTAGAGTGTTAGGCCGCCGCCTGTGCAATATCCATCGTGGTCGGCTACATCTCTGACCGTTATGAAAACCGGGGCTGGGTGATCTTCGTTACCATTCCGTTCGGAATCGCTGGCATGGGCTTGCTCGAGTTCCTCCCGGCTTCTATGCCGGGTGCCAAGTACGGAGCCTTATACCTTGCGGCGCCAGGCATCTACAGCTTTCTGCCGCTCTGGCTGGCCTGGGCAGTCAATAATGCTGCGACGCCGACCGTCAAAGCGGCATCGTCGGGTCTAGTCTTCGCTGTCGGGTCGCTGGGCGGGATTCTCGCACCGTGGGTCTATTTGCCAGGGGATGCACCGAGCTACCGTACGGGTCATACCATCATGTTTTCTTTTTTATTTGGAAGTTGGGCGATCTGCATTGGCTTGATGGTGTATATCAAATGGGAGAACCGCGTCAGGGAGATGGGAAAGCGAGATCGTGTGCTGGAAGGATTGGGGCCTGAGGAGCAACTGGAGCTGAGTAGTCGACATCCAGCATTTCGCTATGCTGTGTGATATTCCAGCAAGGTATATGGAGGATCATGCAACGGAAATGCAAACCCCACTGGCCGGCTGGCGACCATTGGGAGCAGGGTAGGGTGCTACCTTTCGGTAGACTTTCGTCGGAGAGAAAAAGCCTTGGAGCGCTTCCGTCCGATCCGAAGGCCAGTTCGGCCTAGCCCAATGCCTTCCTAACAGTCATCGAGCTTTGTCCATGGACCTTTCCTTGCTGTTGATTCCCAATAGCGTAGGGTGCTTACGCAGGATGGTGGAGGTTGCCGAGGTCCAAATGCAACGGTATAATCTCCCGGATGCATTGATCAGCTCATCTGATTGCTAATGTCATTTAAATCGATGGACGGACACCTGCAAAGGGGAAAGTAGCAGACGATATCAGAGAGCGTTAAGGTGCCACCATGACCGCACGTGCGTCCGATCTGCGTCCGTTTAGGGCTCTCGATGGGGATCCACTTCGTTGAGTAGTGTCGGCTCTAAACACCAAAGGGGAAAAGGATATGCATGAAGGTCGTACTGCCAGGCTAGGAACATGCAACAGAACGTGAAGAGACCAGGACAGAATATTCCACTACACGTGCCAGGTCTCATTGTTTGTCCTTATAAGCCCTGGGTTTATTCCTGAGATATGGTGGAATAGGTCTGTGGCTCTTATCCCTCGCCTCATCATCCTTTCGATCTTCCCTGCATTTTACGGCGAATAGTTTTTTGGTTATTGAGATTTATCATTGATTATGTTCAACTTGCAGTCATTGGGCCAAGTACTGCCAGTGCTAATGGGCACTGCCCTGGCAGCGGTTAGTTATCCACCAATTCCAGAGGACTTGACGACCCCGTATCAACAACGTCTTGCGATATATGGTCCAAATGGTGAGCTAGTCTATTTTCTCCCTAAACCACAATCACGATTAACTTCTTGGTGTAGCTGTCTCAGTGGGTTGGAACACCTATGAGAAACTAAACCAAAGCTGTGTTCAATATGGTACTTCTGAGGCCAAGCTCGACGCGCAGGCCTGCTCTTCGACTTCGTCGACATATGCAACCTCTCGGACTTATTCCAATGCTGTTGTCCTCACAGGGTTGACTCCAGCAACAACATACTACTATAAAATTGTTTCCACGAATTCCAGTGTGGATCACTTCCTCAGTCCTCGCAGTCCTGGCGATACCACGCCTTTCAACCTCGATGTAGTCATCGATCTTGGAGTCTTTGGAAAGGACGGCTACACCATCACCTCCAACAACGCCAAGAAGAGCAGTATTCCATCAATTGACCCAGCGCTGAACCATACTACCATTGGCCGTTTGGCTGACACCGTCGATGACTATGAATTTATCATTCATCCCGGCGATTTTGCGTACGCCGATGATTGGTACCTTAAGCCGAAGAATCTATTGGATGGCAAGGATGCCTACCAGGCCATCCTGGAGCAGTTCTATGACCAGCTGGCCCCTATCAGTGGACGCAAGCCGTATTTGGTTTCCCCAGGAAACCATGAGGCAGCCTGTGGCGAGATCCCCTTTACAACTGGTCTCTGCCCTCTAGGACAGCGTAATTTCACTGCGTACATGCATCGGTATGACGAGACCATGCCTAGTGCCTTTGCTTCCTCGTCGTCGAACATCACAGCCCAAAATCTGGCCTTAAAAGCTCAGAGTCTCGCTCAGCCACCATTCTGGTACTCATTCGAGTACGGAATGGTGCATGTTGTCATGATCAATACCGAGACGGACTTCCCGTCGGCCCCTGATGGACAGGATGGATCGGCCAAACTCAATAGTGGCCCGTTCGGCCAAGACGGCCAACAACTGGCATTTCTCGAGGCAGACCTTGCCAGTGTCGACCGGTCTGTGACGCCCTGGGTGATTGTTGCCGGACACAGGCCGTGGTACTCGACTGGCCTCAGCTCCAACATCTGCAAGCCGTGCCAAGAAGCCTTCGAAGAACTATTTTATAGGTACGGTGTTGATCTCGGAGTGTTTGGCCACGTGCACAACTCTCAACGTTTTTTGCCGGTCTACAAAAACACGGCAGATCCAAACGGTATGAATGATCCAGCGGCTCCTATGTATATTGTCGCTGGTGGTGCTGGCAACATCGAAGGTCTGAGCTCGGTTGGCTCCAAGCCGTCATACACCGAGTTCGTTTACGCCGATGACTATAGTTACAGCACTCTCCGCATCCTTGACGCAAACAATCTCCAGGTGGATTTTATCCGCTCTTCCACCGGAGAGGTTCTCGACTCGAGCAAGCTGTATAAGAGTCACAAGGAGCAGTTCGTTGTCCAGTGAGATAGGGCTCATCAGTGTTCTCGTTGGTGTGTGAAACTTAGTGTGACACAGTCAGACCATGGTCTCTTTGGAGGATATGTTTTGGCCCCAATTGTATATCATGCATAATTTCAAACGTCTTCTTCTTGCGTTCTGTTGAGTACTTACATCTCTAATGCCTGCATACTACACCTGTCATACTGATGCGATTTAATTATTTCATTGTACATATTTCTCCATATGTAAGGAATGAAAACTTGAGATGAGCAGAGTTATACACATTAAGATCTATATCTACTGATTTTGGCTCAGGTTTTACTCCAACATGGTGTCGCTGACAGCGTTACTGGCCGAACAGACTCCATACCCCACAAAAGACTAAAGATAAAAATGTTCAAACTATCACAACGCCGGAACTGCCACATCGTTCTTACCATCTTGGCCAGTTTTCTTAACACTCTTCCATTCCAGAAAGCAGCTAGCTACCAAGGCTACCAGTGCAAGCGCCAGGCTGACGCGATATGCGTCTCGAAGCCCACTCATATACGCCCTAATCACTGCGTCAAGCTGGTCCAACTGCCCCAAAGCGGCCAGGACATGTCTCATTTCCGTCGCTCCGGCACCGACAATGGCACGCGGGTCCACGGTAGGCGCGTACTCGCGAATCCCGTCGATCAACCCGTTTTGAAAGACAGATTGCCCGACAGCAATGAAGAGCGCGCCTCCCAGAGTCTGGAAGAACATCACGGCAGCGGTGCGACGGGGATATCTTCGGGTGAGAGAACGGTCTGAACCGCCGTCATGGGGATTTGAAAACCAGCACCGACTCCCGCGCCGACGAGAATCTGATACCCAATCCATTTACCGGTCGCGATGTCCACAGAGTACGTAGTGACAAGGCCTATGCCAATGGCTGCAATGGCGGTACTACCGATCAGAAACGGGGTATACTAGCCTGCAGCCGTTACGAATCCACCAACGAGGACGGATGAGACAACGGTTGCCAGCATCATGGGAAGAAGCTGAATCCCCGATTTCATGGCGGACGATCCTTTCACGCTTTGGAAGAAGATCGGAACATAGTAGACGAGAAGGAAGAATCCACCGCCGAAGAACAAGGCGAACATAGTCGCAGATAACACTGACCGCTGCTTCAGGATCCCCGGGGGAAGTGTAGCGCGGTCGCCCAACTTGATCTGCGAGAAGGCGAAAATGATGATCATAAGTCCAAAGCCGACAAAGAGCCCGATCACACGCGAGCTGTTCCACGGGTATTTATTTCCTCCCCATTGTAGCGCTAGCAGGAGGCACACAATGGCCGGAATGAGAAGACTGGCGCCGATAAGATCTAGCTGTTTGATCCGGTCGAGGACGGGCGTACCTGAGAACTCGCTCTTGCTGGGAACTCGTAGGATGAAGATGATAACGGCAACGGAAAGACCGCCAATTGGAAGACTGCAGCTCGTTAGAGAAACTAGCCTGAGGCCCGTTTGAAACTTGTGTAGGGCTCACTTGACATAGAAACACCATCTCCATGACACACCGTCGGTGAATGCACCTCCGAGTAATGGTCCAGCAATTGAAGCAACTCCCCATACCATGCCGAACATGCCAAATACAAGGGGTCTCTTGGGCAGTGGAACTGTGCAGATGAGCTACTGTAGTATGAGGAAGTAGATATTGGGTATCGTACCTGTCATTGATATAATTACCAGGGCCCCAGAGAATATACCGGCAACACCGATGCCCGCCACAGCTCTGCCAACAATCAGGACGGTGCTACTGGGTGCAACGGCGCAGATGAGTGACCCAATCTCAAAGATGAGAACAGCGATCAGAAAGCCCCATTTGACCTGAGCGATTGATTGTCAGCCCCGGGCCATAAATTAAGTGAAGCATAGCAACGGTCTACTAACACTGAATATCTTATAGATCCTGCCGTAGGATGGCTGCAATGCAGTCGATGTCAAGAAATATGCACTACCATACCAGGCAATGTCTTCGATGCTCTTGAACTGATCGGTGATCTTCGGGATTGCTACGCCAATGATTGTCTGGTCGAGGGCAACCAAGAAAATAGCCAGGTAGAGGGCAAGGATGATCACTATAACCTTTGTGATGCCAGGATACTCAATCTCTCTGACTTCTGTGTCGGGCTTCTCCGTCGAGCCTTCAAGGTCTGACTTTTCCACTACTGCCATCGTGCAATGTCAGCTGGCTTTCAAGTTCGATGCATATATGGGATTCTCCCGGATGGAAGAATAAGTCTCTCCGTTGAAATTACTCGAACGAACAATTATTCAGCATGGAATCGGTATAGTGCATTATAGGGGATTTATAGGCTCAACCTGTTCAGGTACAAGAACAACAAGATGGGAGCGTCCCAGACGAGTAGTGATGAGTCGGACATTCGGGCCTCAATGCGACCGATAAAAACTCTATAAAGATTGCATCTGGAGATAGCCATTTGGGCTTTAAGTCCCGAATACGAGGTCGAAAAGCATGGATGAACCAATCATGCGGGAGGCTTGTTGGAATAGCCTCAAGTTTATTGCGAGTGCGTCCCGTTCTGCAGGATGAAAAAGAAAGCCATGTCTCCAGTGAGTCAGAAATGTCCGAGAGGCTCGTCGATTCTGTCTCAGCTTCAACTATCCGCACGTGTGCCACGCTCGCTTTGGGAGTTACGTCCAGACAAAGGGCGTATTAATGGGCCTATAGACAGTACAAAATACACATCCACAACAGGGACTGTGATGCTATCATGCGATCCGATGAGACGCGGGCACATATGCCAAGTGCGAGAAATCTGGGAATGGCGACATAGGCTTAATTAAAGTGGATTTGTAAGGCTTACCGGAGGAAGGAAAGCAAAAGAAGCTCGTTTAAGCATTAGCTTCCTATGGCAAGTAAGAGCCACCGTGTTCCCGTCACTTTACCGGTGCATTCCGTGTCAAAGCGAGCTAAGGATTGCATAATACGAAGCACCTTGACGCCCTAATATCACGCTCTTCCACACGAGGGGACACGCCTCAGCGCTTCGCGATCTGAACGCCCCATGCCTTGTGTGGATCTTCTGTTGGACTGGTCAGTGACAAATCGTGCAAGAGGCACTGCTTCCCTTTTGTGATGGCGACATAATAGACTCAGTCAAGCATACCACAAATGCGATGTAGTCGTGCTTCCGACTCTGGGTGAACAAGGCTGAACCATAAATAGAACAAGGTCAACCTTAAGGTCAATGGTGGGCGATGCTAATATATAGAGCTTGAGGCTGGCGACACATTGTCAATATATTCCAGAGTGTAGAATCTCTTAACGCAAGGTCGGTCTACCACTCTCAATACTTCATCGGTAGGAAGCATTCTGCCATTCTCGGCTGCTCACAGCTTCCATCTCGCAGCCTCCATGTGAATCTAAGGAAGGCCTGGTTATGAGACTGAGTGAATGGTTCGTGGTAGCGGTCAGCACTGTCTGCTGAGCAGCTACAATTGGCCTCTGGGAGGAATACTCCGAATTCACGCATACGACGGTGTTCCGGGATGTAGCCTTCACACGTGGATGAGTCGGACGGGTTGTTTTTTATTTCGCCCAAAGGCTCCCCGTCGTCCTGTAATGCAGCGACTTGGGTTAAAGCAATTTGATGTTCACAGAGTGCGTTAGGTAAATTGTACGAGACCGATCCGGGGCTATTCGATGCCGGAACCTTGTCGTTTAACGTGCTAGCAGATGGAATCCAGAAGCGCGATTCTGGAACGAGATCTTCTTCGATACTGATAACTGTTTCGGCCAGCGCAGCCCACGCTGCATACTTGAAGAATGCTTGAACCGGCGGCGCTCGTCCACGGAGATCTAATGCATGTGGAGACCATTATAGATGGAACTACGTGCTAAGTCAGCTTGACTCAGCCCCAACGTTTGGAGAATTGGAGGGCTGTTCCATCTCTCGGTGTTTGAGATGAGAAAATGCTCTCTCCCAGCTTTCCAGCCTGAGCGTAAGAGCACACTGTTGTTCTTTCAATGAGGATGCGATATAGCATCAGGGTCGCCATTGGCCCCTTTGGAACATGGCATCATCCGAGGTGTCGACAAACCTAAAATAGCCACATTAGGGCTGAGAGGCCACAAAAGTGTCGCCATATTAATATGGGTAATGAGGAGTGGCCCAAGAGATACAGAATAGAAAATGATTAGAAGGGGGGTGTGTTCCAGGATGACTTTTCCCTGACACCGATTGTCATTGCAATTGAACGTCATTCGGACAACTCGAGCCGTCAATCCAGTAAGTGCCAGGCCTTCCATGTACATACAGACGAAGAGAGCATTCATCCAAGCCAAATAGCCATAGCAGCGCGGCACCACGTCGATTGTCTTTGCACATCTTTCACGCATATTAGCATCTGACCGCTATACCCACATGTGTTGGTATCCACGAATAAATGGCAACGAGACATCGTTGAGTCAAGCACGTCAGTGGGATCCATAGATTTTACTCATTCGTCAATCAAGGTACGGGTCGCCGTGGCAACTAGTAAATCCTTGCAAAGGTCCTGAGCTATGCAGAGCTTCGATGTGCACGACAACACAATAATAATCCTATACCATGATATGAAGCGTATCATAGCGCTCTCCGGTTTGCATTGCCCATTTCTAGTGGCCCAACGTAGAGGCGTTTCACCAGTAAATTATGATACTCGCAACAGCCGCGCTGGGATCCAACACTAACCTGCAAATGGTCGCATGACCACTTTGTAGCACCTAACACCACGATGTCCCAACTCAGAGGCATTTTGAATCCACTTTTGAGGGGGTGGAGACGGAGATGTGGGCGATCACCAACGCTAGGAGTGTAAGGCCCCTCATCCATCTCCGCGCCGAGGGTCCAGCAGACAGTTCCTACCGCCGTGCCAGCCTTTCCAGCAATCGTATATCTCAGACGGTGTTGGCCATGGGTACTCATTAAGAGAAAGAGACTGTGGAATGCCAGCAGTTCCCTGTCATGCATACGCACAACTTGTTCGACTTGCAGGATTATAGACATAATGTCCCTCAACAAGTGTAGATCAGCTGTCCCAAGACCTTACCACTCAGCCAATCTACCCTATCTCCGCTCTGAAGACTCCAACTATCATTCAAAACAGGTCGGCCTTGGACATCAACAGGCGCCACCGATGGCATTCTTTCCACAAGCTCTCCATGTATGTCGCATCCGGTGGAGGATTACCACCTCGTCGATCTGTGTGGGTTTCGAAGCACCGCGTGCCAAGACAGTAAGGGTACATTAATTAAAAAAAGTTGGTTAACAAGAAGAATGAGGCCTGGGGCCCTCGCATAGCAACAGCAGCGGACGGTCGAACTTTGTGCTTAAACTCTTTCCATTGGCCAGGCATCGTCGAACTTTGCAAACATCGTCCCATCCTATCAGGCTTCAGGATTCCTAGCTTCGGCGATCGGTTGAACCATACAGCGACGACTAAGTTAAACGAGAGCTCCAGAACCAAGGTCCGAATACCAGTGGACTTTGCTTCAAATTTCATACAGTCTTCATTACATCCGTGGCGCCCACAGTCCTCATTTTGGAAGAGCATCACCAGCAGCGTGTCGCCGCTCCACAACTGGCTGAGCACGAGTCCAGCGGGAAGATCAAATTCTGTACGAATCGAAGAGCTGAACGACGATCATTCTCAGAGGTGGTTAGTGGTGTTTAGCCTTCAATAGTGGTGCCTCTCCCTCGAGTTGGATTCTTCCCTTCTTTTATCCGATGCGATTCCCAATGGTGTATTTGGCTTTGCGGGATTCCCAAAATCTCCTGCTGCGCCGATCGTGAACTCCCGGTCCTCTAAATGACACGTCACAAGTTCTACACCGTGCATGGTAAGCACACGACAGCACAGTATAGCACAGCGCAAACGTTGAGGTTGTTTCCTGGTAGTCCTCCCCCATGGTAATCAACAGAAAGGTAGAATCAAATGCGAAGCCGAAACACGGAACTGAGCTTGTAAGAAGTGAGAGTAAGGATATGAAGGAGATCTAGATATTTGATTTGAATTTATTGTCAGATGTGGCCCAAACCCAATAGCATGTCCTTCAAGGTGCACGTCGTGAAAAAAGCAAAGATGCTGAAAAAGCCAATCTCTGTTTATCTATCGCATGGCTTATCGCCGAGCAAGCCCGGAATTTGGTCCCTGCTGGTATTATTGGAGGGACCTCCTTGCGTGGTGATGTGCTACACTAATTAGGGTTACATCTAGCAAGGAAAGCTGAAGTCTATGCGTCAACAGCGGAGGCAACCGCTCGCCACCCGTGTGCTTAAACATCTTTTATCCCTTGGCTCCCTGAGAATGCTGTGCCTCTCGCACTTTGAAAGGAAGACAACATGAATTTTTCATGCAAACACAGCGTTTGGGGTTTCCACCAGGAATCCCCGACAGTGACGGTGGAGGGTTCATACCCGCTGTGATGGACAACTCTCAGCCATGGCTACGAACAGCGAATCGCGTACTCATTGGAGTAGGTTTGGCTATTAACACACCTCTTCTGGTAATGCGAATTTACACCAAAATTCGACTGATGAGAAGATTCTGGTGGGACGACGGTAAGTCGATATTTCGGGCCAACGAAGCCTTGGGCGCATTATTAACGCATGGCGGCCAGTATGCTTGATTCTTGCTTGGGTATATGCCGTTAGAATGTTCTTGTTAGCTATCAGCCTGTACTGACCTGCAGCTAGATCTGCTCCGTCGCGACGCAGGCGGTCATTTTATGTAGGAACCCGTTGAAGGAAGATGTTGTGCAGTCACTAAGAGTCCGTTAGATGGGTTCGAACATGCAGGATATGGCATCCACGTTTCGCAGCTGCCATTATCCGTGCTCAGTACCTATCGCAAGGTATCTATATTCCAGATGTGACGTGAATTAAACGTCTCGCTAATCGCCGGGCTTTGGTGTAGTGCATGCTGGCGGCATCGGTCATATACGTCCCCGCGCTCGCCTTTGCGAAGCTCGCCTTGCTTATGCTCTACTATCGACTCCTACAAGCGACGCATCCGCTATATGTGTACACCATTTACGCGGTCGGCTTCGTCATTGCAGGTTATAGTATTGCACTTCCCCTGGCATTGATCTTCGGCTGCAGCCCTATTCAAAAAAGCTGGGACATCACTATTGCGGGCTCCTGCATCAACACAAGCGGAGTCTATCTCGCGACTGCCATCACTAACACGATCAGTGATGTCACATTGATACTGCTCCCGATCCCCATTGTATGGGGTCTCCGTCTATCCATCATTCAAAAGGTCGGAGTGCTCTGTATGTTTGGTGTTGGATTCTTGTACGTGAACTTCTGCCCCCGGTGCCAAACAGCGGCCTCATTAAACCAGTCTGTTGTTATGATTCTTACCTAGTTCCTTTAGAACCACCAGTATAAGTATCGTTCGCTTAGCAACGCTGATGCCTCTGGTCACGTCGCAAGATCAGACACACGATATCGCCCTCGCCGCGGTCTTCATGTGAGTCCGGCACGCCATCTAATTGCTCGCTTTGTTATTTTTATTTTACATTAGGACAAAACTAATTGATATGGGTCGTGTAGCAATATCGAAGCCAACACCATTATCATATGCGGCTCTTTCCCCTATTTACGCCAATTCCTGCGATACCATGCTCCGCGGTGGATCGATTATAGTCTGAACTCGCGACGGAAACAATCCTCTTCTACAGAGTCGCCATCAGCTCCAATGCGCAAGCCAGGTCTCACTCAGCTCCAGGATGATATCGAAAGGGCGATCAACCACACGGATGGGATCACGAGCGTAGAAGGGAGTATCAAACCGGGGCCCAGAGAAGTGATATAGTATTCGCTCGTGTGTATAAAAGTATACGACCTGGCGGGGTTCAAAAGTGCTTCCTGCCAGGGGGTGGGATTTTTCATAGCAGAGGGGGCGTTAATACTTAGAAAAATAGATTTTGGGCATCTATCCTAAGACTTGAATATTTCAAAAATCCCTCAGTGTCGCTGGGCTGTTCTAGTACTCTCGAGATGGTTGGCGAGGATCTTAGAAACGTCACGAAACGCGCCCAATGTCGCTCGATGCCAAGGCGCCGTCCTGCAAGAGCCCGTGGCATAATGTCTCGTAATTGTGCTAGATGACACAGTCCCTTCCAGCCAAGACGCCAAGTCTACAGCCATATCCCGAAAACAATGAAGTTCGCATGTAACCCGCAGGCTGCAGACAGGGCGGGATGTGCCAAGGTGAGGGTGACACACACCTGTGGGAGTAAGCTCAGCGGCAAAGCTATAGATCCTGTTGCCTTGGTTGCACCATCACCGTATTGACTGGACTCAACCCCAGTCTGCTGCCTCCGTTCCAAAAGGTAACTGCGCCTCTGCATGCGATAGAAATATTCCATTCAGGTGCTTTCACTTGTAATACCGCAATTGTAGAGCCGGACCAGCCGTCATATTGCCACCTACACTGTCACATCCTCAAACACACGGTTGTGAACTATACAACAATCTCGGCCACACATTCGCATTCGTCCAGTTGAGTTGGGTACCGCCATGTGGGAGACATCCAATATTCCACCAGGTTATCTGGACTCGATCGGAGTAATACCGTGGGGTCCGCGGATGGCTGTAAAGTTAACTCGAGAGATGGGTACTAATTGCTGACAAGGATGGGCAGTGAAACGGAATATCGGGAGTGGGTTCGTTATTCGCCGAGAGGGCCAGCTCCGCCTGGGTGTGGGAAGGAACGATTGGAAAAGAAAGTCTCGGCTCGCCCTTGACAGGAGTCTTCGAGGTGGATCACTTTGCTGTATTAGTGTATCTATTTGGATGTTTACCTAGAAAATGAGCGCGAAGGTAGGCCTAGATGGGCACTGGATTCGAAAAGCTGAACAATTAGTGGGTTCTGAACCCCGGTAGGTATATATGTTTGATGAGGCGCCATGGTAAAGAAATCCTCCATTCGGCTTGAGCGCAAATGGATAGCTGCTATTGAGCTTCCCCATGAGAAGTTGAGGAAGAGTCCAATTGATATGCAGTTGAGTCCGATGGATGTTGATGTCACCTGATGTCACGTGGTGGTTCCTTTCCTAAAGTGGACTAGTGGAAGGCATTCCATCCGCGTCGTTGATGAACATCACAACTTCCAAGAGCGAACCTTCGCTTGACCGCTACCAAGGGCGAATTCATACGATATACATACATGACCGATGGTGCTAACTGTCCAAATCTCAATTGCCTGTCAGCAATTCCAGCAGTTCTTCCCTATCATCGCTCTTAACACACTCTCTCACCGACAACCGTTGGATATCAGCACGACGATCTAGCCAACCTGCTCCAATTGTGTGGAGAAACTAACCCACATAATCTGCGTATCTTTCCACTGATACTCCGTACACCTCTTATCCTCTTTCCGGGCCCTACCGTCAATGCCGTTTCCCGGAAAAGCCGACAAGCAGACTACGGAAGTGATATCTCCTAAGCCATATCTCGGGCATTTTAGGATGTATGACTGTCCCTGGGGTCGCATAATCCCGCGTATACGTCATTCTACCCACCCGTCTATTAACAACCCGTTATAAATTGCTGTGTCATCAATTTTAAATGGGAGGCTTGCCTCAACTTCCAGTTACGATGCCTGTACCGAAAGGTACATTACGTAGGAGTGTGATGGAATGTTCGACTACCTAGGAGATCAAAAGTTAATCACATTCAAGCTTTAAGTGTCAGGGATGTTGTTGCTATGGAAGAGACCATCACCAAGCCACTCATTTCATGATACTTTCCATATGGAGAATGAGGCATGTTAGGGTTTACATAGCACTGGGTGCCCACATGACGGCAGTGAACGTAATGTTGCTTCTTACTCATACCAAGGGTTTCCTTTTCCTTATTGGATTTGATGCTCGTACTTGAGTCTCAGAACTAAAACTAGATCCTACTGGCTTTCAACGTCCTCAGAATCGTTGGTGGTTGTTCTCCGTCTCAACCAGGGCTAACACCCTCATCCTCTAACAGCCTTCGACCCCAGACTCCGTCATGCGATCATTTGTTCTTGGTCCCCTATTGTTCTGATTGGGTCTGGTCGGATATGTCCAGCCTGTAACAACCCATTCCATTTAACTGGCTTATCTGGCCCATCGACCCATGGAACGGTGATCTGCCTTTCGGTCATAGGCATCCCCACAGTCTATCTCTCGCAAAAGCATACCACGCACTTCTCCCCCTTCTCATAACACCAGTAAAGTCTTGAAATGCGCCTTTGACGAGATTCACTTTATATAAGCCACATGGTGTCCTCTCACGAAAGAGCCATGTCGCAGTCATTGATTGAATAGTGAAAACCAACTCTCGTCGGATTTCACCAGATGCCATGAGACCGCAATCGAAAACCCTATACCACCTGCGCCCGAAGCTTGACGAGATCCTGAACGATACAGCCCCCGTCCCGTATACACTCGGCACCTTCATTGCCTTCCTCGCTCAAAACCACTGTCTCGAGGTTCTCGAGTTCATCCTTGAGGCCAAACGCTACCGGAAGACATACGACTGGCTTGAACATCACGGCAAGAAATGCGGCGAAGATGAAGTGCACGAGGAGCGCCTCCGACGAGTATGGGATCGCATCATAGAAACATACATCGAATCCGGTGCACCGCGCGAGATCAACGTGCCAAATGAAACCCGAGAGGAGCTGTTGGTGTACACCAAAACCCACGGCTCCACTCCCCCGCCGAGTCTCCTCGATAGTGCTGTTCAACACATGCATGAATTACTACGAGACTCGATCCTCATCCCCTTTCTCCGGAGCTGCTCGGGCACCTCCCATGTGCAGCCGCTATCAGTGCCCTGCCTCAGTGGCACCGAGCGACTGTCCCCGAGTCCCAGGGCCTCGGATGATACTGCACGCCGGAGGTCGAAGTTCAATGTCCTCATCCCATCTTCCCCTGCCGATATGTGTTCCTCCGATGGATCACAACCGCCGACGAGATGCGTATCACGAGCCACCAGCTCCCAAGAACCACTTCGCTCGTCATCTTCTGACATCGGGCGTGAGATCACCGGTGGTCAAGATTGGGACGTTTTGCCAAATGGTGAAGGCACGGGGATGTGGCACGCCAATACCACCCCGGAGAAAAAGGCACGGCTCCCAGAATCGCCTAAGAAAAGATGGCGCCGCTTACAGGGATTTGCAAAGCATTTTCGGCGTTCTTCTGATTGATGTTCACTATACTAATCTACCCGCCATGTATATCAGCTGAGCGGAATTGCATCGCTGTTTGTGTTGAAGTTTTAGTTCGTCCCAACCAGATGCCCGATGTGCCTATAGCTGGTTGTCACCTCATGGACTTGAAAACTAAACTATCAACCTTTGAGAAATTACCTCCCGTGAAGAGCGTACGCATAGAAGACCTGCGTTTGTTTGGGGTCTCATAGAGTGAACGTATGGACTAAAACTCAATGATCTCATGCCAAGGCAGTAACGACGTATTTGCCCAGAGCTGAACCAATAGATAGGCATCTCAGCTGTAGATTAGTTTGGTAACCATGGATCCTCTGGCGAAAGCCATCACATCCTCATGAGGTATCCATGACTTCACCCTTTCCCTTCGATAAGGCTCCTTGAACCACGGTTCATCTTCCACTCAACGCCGATAAAACCTTAACGGATATGATGCATTGGTCATCGAGCAACTCCCGAAAGACTAAAAGCTCCAAAAGTAGGAAGTGCTGAAGGCATACGCCCCTGTTCATTACCCGTTTAATTCTCTTGAGTCTTGGGTCTTTCTGTTCCGGTTGTTCTTCTGGGATGGTGATTCACCTACAACGTTGACCGACCACCTGCAGAACGATCGGGTATCAGTATAGCCAGATACACTCACCGTAGAAAGGTAACTGAAAAGAAAATAAGGGTAGGATCATATGTCATTGAGGTTTCTTTGTAAATTGTAGGGTTCGTGCTTCATGTGAGGTCACCAGTCCAAAGTTGACCAACCGGAAGGAAGCTGGTCCTCTCCGCGTGATACATTGCATTAAATGTACTTTCCTAGAGGGAAGAATTACTTAAGTTACAATACACAGAATCCAGGTAGATATTTTATATAATAAAGAGAAGCTGTCAATGTTTCCCAATGATCTAGTGGCTGGCACAGGGAGATCCGCTATTGAGGGTTTCTACAAATGCTAAATAGCTGCCAAATGGTTGATCGGCTTCTATCGCAAGCGCCCAGAACTGATCATTTCAGTTAGATATTCCAGCGCCTACCTAGATACTACAAGGTTGTCTGAGGTGCCACCAACAGTCGGCCTCGCTGGTCCCTTTGCTGGCCAATTTCTGAGTCAGGACTCGGCTCATGCTCGACCCCAAAGCTCTTGTTTCCTTCAGGCCGGTCAGTATCCTGCTTGTGCGAAGAGACTTTGCACCACGCTACTATGCACTACACCCTCAAGCCGCTACGTCGGGAGAATATATGACGACATGAGGCGCAGTTAGATCTGCTCTTCGGCCGACGTATCGGAAGACCTAGTGACTGTGAGCCATGATTGAGTCAAGTCCACCTCCTCCTAGTTGAGGAGAACTTAGCCTATGAACATGAGCGAGATATCGTTCATTCGAATGAAACCAAGAGGTTTTGGTGCGGGTGTGTTTGGCTTGTGCTGGTGAAGGTATTCTAGTGTTGTGTATTCAGTTGTATCATCCAGGTCTCGCACAGCTTTCAAAATTATATCATGACCACAGCTCAAGGCCATTTTCTCGCCGGCAAAGGGGCCCTTCCAGACAACCTCGCTTGAGTCTATGACATCGAGCAGTCGCTGCGCAAGGCCATCCGATTGTACTGCAGCTAAACTAGATATTCCAAGCAAATTCTGAACTGTATCGGATAGAGGAAAAACGATTTCAGCCAAGTCCGACGAGCGAATTGAAGCGCGAATGTCGTCTTCTCCGCGGTCTTCAGGTACGGTCGCAGAGTCTAAATTTCGAAAGGATATTAGAATGTGGATTGCTCCGATGGAAAGCTACTCACCAGTTTGGGTCTTCTGGCGCATTTATTCAGACGATCGGAATACCTCCAGGGCAATTTCACTGTCAGATCAATCTCCGGATCCTTTTCGATGGCAGCTTGAAGCTTCGTCAAGGTGTGTACATTGAACCTTGCAGCTTTGGGTTTGCTGACACGAGCCATAATCAAATATCTGTCTATATAAGTGATGTCATGCGGGCAAATAATTACATAGGAAGTTTAGAATGCAACGGTGAAAGCTATTAAAGGACACTGTAGATTGAAGCTGCGGCAGGATAAGAAAGGGAGCTTCAACCATGTGACACATGTTTTAGTACGAGCAAGAAGACTAAAAAATAGTGAATTAACCAATATATCTCAGCAGTCTCAAACCCTCTTTGTAAAGAAAAGTACCGTGCGGGCTCCTTGTCTAAAAGTAGTTTACTAACTAGTTATTTCAAAATTGTATAATTAGTAATTATATCCAATGTTGCAAAAGGTATTGGACTATGCTAGTATATGCATGACATTCGGCTAATAAATACTTTACTACAAAAATGAGTAAAAAGGACATCTAATACGAAAAATATATGCATTTTAATCAAAAAAAAAAAATCAAGCTATTCAAGTACCTAAAAAAGCACTCACCAATCTCGACTCTCGAGTCTGAAATGTAGAAAGCAATCGATCCCTCGATATATATTTCCAATCCCGACTGGTACTACTAATAATATCTTATATTCCCTTCTAATACCGTTAGTTTAATCGATTTAATATACCAAGGTAGTTGCTTGATCCAGTATTCTATAGCTTCTTAAGCTAACTTATTCTAAATTTATATTAATCTCTTCCATTCTTCGCGGAAACGATAATCATCCGCGTACAGCCCGGCGCCGACTCCACTGCAAGGATCGGCGCAATGCATGTTCACCTGCAGCTACGTTGATAGTAGACGGTAAACATAGTAGTACAGTAGACACAACAGCCTCGTACAAACTGAAATAAACTAAGATAATATAAATTTCCTTTGTTTGCGCGGGTATACATGGAAACCGAGTTCTTTGTCAGGGTGATCCTTCAGCCTTGACGTTCACCCGGACGAAAATGTTTAGGGATCCGCTCTATACTGGCAGGACTATATATCTGCGCCGTTGCCTCCAACTGAAGCACCGCAACACCAAGACCCAAATAATATAAAACCACGACACGCTTACCAACTTCCGTGGAAAAGCATAAAGAAACAAAGATGGCTCCTCATGCGATTGTGTTCGATCTTCTTACAGCCCTCCTAGACAGTTGGTCCTTATGGGCCGAAGCGGCAAACAACGACCGCAGCGCATCATACCGATGGCGCACAAGATACCTGGAGTTGACCTTTGGATGCGGCGCATACCGTCCATATGAAGATCTCGTCTACGAATCAGCCAAGGATGCCGGCCTCCCGGACAGTGCACCCAAAGCGCTGATCGAGTCTTGGGATCGGATGCGCCCCTGGCCCGAGACCAGAGAAGTCCTATTGCAGCTGAAGGAAAAGGGATACCGCTTGGGAGTGGTCTCCAACTGCTCTGCAGAACTCGGCCGGCGAGCGATTGCGTTGTGTGGTGTGGAATTCGATGCGTTCGTGACGGCGGAAGAGGCCGGCTTCTACAAGCCTCATCCGAAAGCATACGGGTCGATCCTATCGGCCTTGGGGGTCGACTCCAAAGATGCCCTGTTTGTCGCGGGCAGCAATGGTGATGTCGTCGGCGCAGCAGCGGCCGGTATGGATGTTGTGTGGCATAACCAGATTGGCCTCCCAAGACTCCCCGGCTCTAAGCCGCGCCTGGAAGGTCGCTCGTTACAGGTCGTTCTAGATCACCTCCGCCAGGTGGAGTCGATGTCGAGTTCGAATACATCCAGCCGGTCATCATCGCGACTGTAGACTTGGGCTGAGAAGCCAGGCGTGCTGCACAATAATACTCGCTTATTGGAAGCTTGGGCAGGACTGCGGACGGAACAATATCAACGTCGTTTGAGGGATGAAATATAATGAATTTATGAAGGGCTTGTGACGGTATATCCTCCTCTCATCGCTGCAGGGCCTTGGAAGTGTATGTACATATTTGGTATATTATAGTGTCTAAATACTCTCCTTTCCGCTCAGACATATCCTCAATATTAGGTACACACCGTAGAGATCAATACGGGACTGAGAACCACATCGGAGCTGGTTAGAGAAACAGTTCAAGCTTTCAAACAGAACTTAACAATAGTTGCATATTGGTATCATGATAACAAGAGATAAACAACTGAAAATCACAGGGGCTTCACAGCTGGTCGCTTGTTGATGGTTATCCACATATCCCGCCAAAAGCCGATCCCACCTTTGACTTCGAACCTCGCAGAGGGCTTGTCAGTCGCAATAGACGGGGTGTATCGACGGAAGAACTAAAGTATTATGAGATGAGCAAGCGCGAAGCCAAGAAGGGAGGCCAGATTAACGTACCTGCAGTGGGCCCTTGAACAATTCTTCCATCGCGATGTCCCTACCCAGACAGACTCTGGTGCCATATCCGAAAGTGAAAATATACTTGTTGTACAGCTTGGCTTTCTCCGGGTCGAGCCAGCGCTCCGGACGGAACTCCTCTGCGTCTTCTCCAAAAAGCGCGGTGTCCCGGTGCATGATCCATGGGTTGCCGGTCACCTCTGTCCCGGCTGGAGCAAACTTACCGAAAAGCTCAATGCCTGGTTCCGACACATAACGAGGGAAGATATTTGGCGCCGGCGGGTTCATTCGCAACGTTTCCCGGACACATGCGACATAGTATGGAAGATGCTCCTGGATAGCGTCGTACTGGGGGATGGTGTCAGGGATGAGTCCCTTACGGCTGGCCGTGTCGATCTCCTCCATCATCCGTTCGTAGACTTCCTGGTTGACGAGCAGGTGGTTGACGAGGGACTGGAATACCGTGCCAGTGGTATCGCGCCCGCCAGCAGAACCAGCAGGACTTCGGCCTTCAGATAATCCATGTCGAGGGGCTTGCCGTCTTCCGTGCGTGCATCGATAAACGTTTGTAGGAGATCCACACGACCAACATCTTTGCCTTCAGCGATCTCGTTTAAGCGTTGCTCAATCAGTCGATCCCGGAAGCGCATCAGCACACCAATGCCGGTGTTATCCTCAGGCTTGGCGACCAGATATTTTTTCAAGAACGTTGTCTTCACCCAGCTGGTAAATGGGTGGAGACGTGCGAGGAGACCAAACGCAGGAAGGCCGTCGTGGAAGCCCTGGATGAGACCTCCAACATCTTTACCCTGTTCGATAAAGCCGAACGGCGCCCCGAAGCCAATCTCACTGATGACATCATACGCGACGTATCTGTTCATATCCACATGTTCCAGTTAGTTCGACGATGCGCGAATCATGTTGGGCGGCTGTTGGCTCTTACACTGCCCACCATGAGAAATCGAACTTGGCACCGGTGCTGGCGAATGTCTCTCCCAACTTGTTCAACCAGTCGTCGATCCGCGCGTCAATCAATGGCTCCATCCGCTTTACGTTTGAGAAACTATACTATTTGGGTTGTCAGCTCGGGCCTTGCTGGGCCAGATTGACATGCATGAATGTACATACCGGACCCGCAATGTGCTTGCGAAACGCCGCATGAGTCTTGTGTGACCGAATGTTGAACAATGATTCGGTCTCACCGAACGACCCGGTGATATAGTGACCTGTCTTGTCTGCATTCCGGTGGTAGATGTCGGGCAGTTTCGTGGGGTCGCTGACGAGGAGGAGTGTCGGGGTGATTCGTACGACGGGTCCTGCAAGCCACACACACGTTAGCCCGATGAGCCCTACAGCTGAAACTCGAGGGATCATACCGTATCTCTTGGTCAGTGCATAGACCGTAGGTACTTCGGTCTCACGCAGGTTGTGCCATGCGATCCAAAGTCTGGTTACGCTACCCCAAAAAGGTCCCGGGAATACAGCCAAGGGATGAAAAAATCGATAGTACACAATCTGATAAGCAAATCGGAGCGCCACATATGCTCCTAAGGCGAGGATGACGTGGGTTGCCGTGAACATTGAGACCAGGTCCGCCCCTGTAAGGACCATTATCGTGACCCTAATTCACGAACAAAAAGGAGAAATGCACAGGAATAAGCAAAAACAGAAAAAAGAGAAAAAAGATTAAAATTTGACAGGGATGCCTTGCCTCCCCAGCACGGTTTATGGGAGAAATACCCGGCGATTGCTGTGGAAACTATGCATCATTTCTCTCATGAGCAGCTATGTGGTACTTTTGGCCGTCCGCCTCAAAATGATGGAGGCAGAGCGAATAGCCATGCGCCTGGAGATAATCTCACCACCGCTTCCTTGCGATGATCATCCTTAGGGGGGTGGTTGCCAATGTATTTGATTAGAAATGGCTAATAACGCCAACACGACCATTTTGAGGGGCTGCTCTGGGAAATATTTCCACCCTTTCCTCGCCAATCAGGGTTGCTCTATACCAAAAGCTCCCCGGAAGGCTGGGGATTATTGGCTCAAGTTCTGGCATGAAGTGCCGGGGGAATCAACTGAACGAGAGACACTCACCCACCTCACCAGAGTCATCACTACAGCTCACGCGCCGCCGTCGTTCTAGTGCGGGAGGCCGAGCGTTTTAGGGTGCATTGGGCTTCAGTGTGTGGAGGCTACTAGGCCACAAGAGGCTGAAGCCGTTTCAGACTCTGCCGAGAGTTGATTTTTATGTATCATACTACCAGGATGTTGTCCCCTGTCTACGCCGTGTATTCCATGGGGATGCTACTGCTTTTCGACGAACACAAGCCTCGTTGCCAATCTATTGGAATCTGCCTTGGAAATGTCTTGATAACGTCCTGTTTCTGTGACTGACAGGGCATGCCCACCGGGATCCACAGTGGTCCACCCTCGGGAACTGCGACAGCGTCGGCTCTGCGTGATCTCGTTTGGTGGGGATGCGCTATGAGGCCCAACATTGGTGGACGAGGAAAGTACGAAGTACTCCATAGAAGTTAGCCGCGGAGGGCTTCCGCGGCCCTATCCTATTTGATCTCGACAAGGCTCGGCTGCATCGGTGGCCACCAGGTGCCACTTTTGATACCCCGGAACGAACAAGCGGGAGATGTTAAAGGACTCTCTGGTTCTCACGCGTGTGATAGATCCACATCGTCCGTAATTTACTCTGTACTGCCAACATTAATCTAGAATGTAACATGCTTGCTGATCATTTGGTACACCAAATCCCGACCCCTGATGACAGAACACTGCAATTGCTTGATCATATTGCTGGATGTATCTGCGACGCAAGTAAGGCGTAACTTGCTTATAAAGGACAAAAAGAAAAGAAAAGAAAAAGAAAAAATTT